CTGATGCTGATGAGGATGCGGATGAGGTTGACGATGAGGATGAGGGTGAGGATGATCAGGATGACGAGGACGATGAAGATGATGAAGCCGATGATGCTGAGGATGATGAGGAGAAGGAGGAGGGTCAGGAGCAGGAGGAGGAGGAGGAGGAGGCGGAGGGGGAGTTAGAGGAGGAGGAGGAGTTGGAGGAGCAGGAGGAGCAGGAGGAGGAGGAGGAGGAGGAGGAGGAGGAGGTGACGATGAGGATGAAGGTGAGGATGATCAGGATGATGAGGACGATGAAGATGCTGAAGCTGATGATGCTGAGGATGATGAGGAGAAGGATGCGGGTCAGGAGCAGGAGGAGGAGGCGGAGGGGGAGTTGGAGGAGGAGGAGGAGGAGGAGGAGGAGCAGAAGGAGCAGGAGGAGGAGGAGGAGGGGAGGAGGAGGACGAGGAGGAGGAGACGGATGAGGAAGAGGCGGAGGAGGTGGCAGGGGCTGCCAGAGCGGCAGGCCAAGGCACACTCGGACCCAGAGCTCCCGCCTGTGGATGCGGGGACAGGGGGGTGACCCTCAGAGCCGCACGCTGGCGGGCTCCTCTGGCTTCAGGTCAGCCCTCCTCCTCGTCGTCTCCTCTCCTCCTCCTCCTCCTCCTCCTCCTCCTCCTCCTCCTCCTCCTCCTCGTCCTCCCTCCTCTCCTCTCCCTCGGCTTCCCTCCCCCCTGGCCCTGGCGGTTCCCCCTCCACTCCCCCACCAAAGGGGACCTCAAGGGCAGCCGGACAGGGTGTCTGCAAGCGAGGCCGTCACCTTCGGCGAGGCGTCACCCCTTGCCTTCCTCTCCCCCTCCCTCTCCCTCTCCCTCTCCCTCTCTCCTCCCTGCCCCAGAGTACCCTTCGGGCTTGCCTCCCGGCGCAGCGATGAGAGATATTCCCACCAGGGAGCGCGGCAGTCCTCGTGCTGGGCTGGGGGCTGCGGTAGGCTCGCGCCAACTTGACGCTGCAGCGACCCCAGCGTGGGTGCTCCAGGTTGAGCGCCGCGAGTGGCCCAGGCATGATCGGCGCTGGCGGAAAGCGGCGATCTTTCAGGCGTCAACTCGACTCGACTCTGCTGCAGCACGGGCAAGCAAGGCATCTGCCAGAGCCTTCTTCGTCTTGAATCGTGCCGGCCTCGCATCGTGTCGCACGAGAAGAGCGACTGAGTCTCACGGATAATCGTTGTTATTATGGTTGTTGTCGGGTCGTGCCCGCACCAATGTTAGTTAGCAAATGTGAGGCCGTTAAATAAGAGGGTCCGTGCCCAGGTATTGTCAGCATGGGCCGTGCCATTCCTCCTCTTCGTGGGCTCCTTGTGCCAGCAGGATGCTCTCGCCCGTGGGGAGAGATACTTCAATGCAGCTGAGGCAACAGTTTTGCAGTTGGCGTTCTGTATTGATGCCGAGGGCAGGCTGCCCTCCCTTTGCACAGATAGTCACCCTATTGGAGGTGCCCCGCCCAAGCACGTATCTGGCAGGGGGTTCGAGCGTATCTCTTGAGCGCAAGAGTGTTGCTACCATGTGCCAGCACCATTTGTCGCAGGTCGAGTGCTCGCGCCCAAGATCAAACATCGCTGTTGGCTTCAGCGTGCAGTCCCATCTTCTCTACAGGGTGTGTTTCGCGTGGCATCGCCTCTCGAGTCGGAGATAGCGTGCCGGGACTGACCGTGTGGTACGGTGCACAATGTCCGGCACAGACCATTTTCCTTTTGTGGCAACGTTCTCAGTACCTTAAATGCACCTGCGATCGTAACTGGTGTCTGTCCATATTGTTTGTTACATGGGCCAGGAAGAGGGGCAACGCGCAAACACGCGCTTCGATGGATGTGGGTATGAGCTCCGTTCTCCCTGTGGGAATGCGTCCCATCTTGCACATCATATTATACCTCCGTAGGTTCCAGGAAGACGAGGGAAGATGTGGGGGAGGAGGATGACAGGGCTTGGTTTGTCCGGGTGTCCCAGAAGCTGCTAATATTCCGTTGCCACCCAAAGTCAGGTTTTCTCGTAGCCGTACGTCGGCGGACAGTTTCCATCAACCCAGATTCGCAATGATTGTGATTCGGCGGAGTAGGCAAAGCGGTATGCACTTCGCGAAAAGGCGCATCCCTTTTCAATGCTTGAGCTGAAGAAGCCGTAAGTCGTATATGGTCTAAACATACTCCGCAAAACGCCGCCAGTCGTATGCCATGTTAGGATTATCGGGAGGGATCGGGGATGCATCGTTCAGAGACGAGTTGTTGATGTTTGTCACGATGGTGTATTAGCATGGTGTCAGTGAGCAGGCAATTCTTGGATCCGAGTAGACACAGCGTAAGGGCTTGAAGTGGCTTTCGCCAGACCTGTGACCTGCCTCCGTCGCATTTGCCTCCTACACTCCGTGGGAAGCTTCGGCAGTGAGATGTTATGGCCCACCCGCGTTGACGACGTCGGCGAGGGCGGCGGCGACGACGACGAAGACGCCAGCGGCGACAGCGACGGCGACGATGGCGACGGTGACGGCGGTGTCTTGAGCGCTGGCGCCGTCGAAGTCGCCGACGACGACTCCGGAAGCGACGGTGAGCATGGCGACGGCGGCGGTGGCTAGGGCGGTGATGGCGAGGGCGGCGGCGGCGACGGCGAATGCGGCGACGGCAACGACCAAGGCAGCGACAGCGACGGCGCCTGCGATGGGGAGAGTGGTGACGGCGACGTCCGCGGGGGCGACGGCGACGGCCGCGACGGCGATGTCACACCCTGGTTTTCTGGCCCGCTGTGCTGAAAGGTTCGCGTTCTGTAAAGATGCAGTGCGGGAGCACCCGCCGTTGGCTGCGGGAGCACTCCCGCTCTATAAGAATGCAGTGTTGGAGCGCATCTTTGGGTTTGGCATGGGTTGCCAGAACTTCCCCTCGCGATGCAGATCATGAGTTGGAGGCGCTCCAGCTTCGTTGAAGGCATAAGTATGAGGCTGGAGGGGAGGGGAAGCCGGCTGGGGGTGCTAGCATTTCGTTCACGCTTGATTCTCACAACAGCGATTGACGCAGCGAGGATCAAAGCGTGAAGATCGCCCCAAAGTTACGCCGATACTTGCACGTGCGCTACACATCAAGGGCATAAAGAACGCCCCTGCCTCGGTCTACGAGGCGCTGTGCGCTGAAACTCCCGTGGGCCGACAGAGCAAGCCCTGCGTGATGTGCCGCGTCCTGGCGGCTCTAGGCGATAGGGGGTTCCCAGGAGGTCTACAGACCACGCACCTGTAACCCAGGGTAGGGTCGTTTTTTCATCCCTCAAGGAGGAGGAGGAGGAGGAGGAGGAGGAGGACGAGGACGAGGACGAGGAAGAGGAGGAGGGGGAGGGGGGGCAGACACATGCTCGCGCGCAAGGCTGTGCCACGGGCTGTGGCCTCAGGCATCCACATGGTGCCAGCTGCTCGGCCGCGGCGCGCAGACCTTTTCCAGCAGCGGTCCGGGAGCAGAAAATCCGTGGCCAGTTGTGCGCTCGAGCTTCTTCGGCGCAGGGCCTTGGGAACACGACCTTCTGGCGTGTATTCCGAATCGTGTGTGCATATACCGCGTTCGACCACCATCATCTTGGAATTCCTTTGCGCTTGCACGTGCGCGTGTGTGTGTGTGTGTGTGTGTGTGTGTGTGTGTGTGTGTGTGTGTGCACGGCCACGCCACGGCTCACCAGAAGTCACAGTGGTTCGCGCGTTGGGCGTGGCAACTGTGTGTCCACAGCATGCAGATCGCGACTTCCCTCGTGATGTGGACAGGTGCTGACGCGACGAATGCACGAGACGCCTCCGAGGACGGCGTTCCAAAGACGATCCTCACGGGGGTAAGCTCCAATCATTCTTTGAACGCGCGCGGACCGCAACGATGATGGAGCAGGAAACTCTGAGATTACAATCCAGTTGGCCGTACAGATGGATTACATCCCAACCCTATACATTATGGGGCCTCAGCAAGCTTGGCATATTCAGCAACATTTTGGTACGGGCTTGCACGGAAGCATTTTGGCGCTTTTGCTCGGCAGCGGGGATGCATTCTCGGATGGGTGGCGCGGTGTTGTAAGGTTTAACGTCTCTGGCAATGAATTTGCGTGGCCCAAATTTCGATGTAGTTTCAAAGAGTGCGAGCAAGTCCACGTTCGGATAGATTACAACTGTAACGACAGATACGCTGAGATAAGAATCAGCCAATGGTGGGGATGGAGATCCAGGCACAATCAAATGAACAAAAGCTCACCTGGTGAGATTACTTTCTGGGGGAGTCGGGTGTCGGGAAATATTTACCCGTTCAGGCCATGTGGTGCACGACGCCAATGAGACTTTGTTCATCACTTCGGGCATGGCCCAGACTTCGTATTTGTCCTCATCGATGCCCAGCCCGACGCCCAGCCCTACGCCCAGCTCTTCGCCCCACCCAGCGGCATTAGGGCGTTTGCAGGAGACCGGCGATTGCAATGACGATGTGAACCATGCCCAGGACATCTTGCTAAACAGTATCATCGCGATACCATTGAATCGCAACGCTTTCAGGAACACAGCGCATAATGTTCACGTGAAGTGTACTTCAGGCGCTCAAGGTTCCGTGTCTGACACTGCCTTTCCCTTTCTGACGTATGCCGTAGAAGAGCACAAGAGAGATGGCAACACAGCAGACCTTTACGCTGTCGACGGGCAGTGCCGAAGTGCCGTTACTCCTGGATATTTTTCGGAAGGCGGGATCTCTCCAAGAGACGCACCAGTCGTTCTATGACGCCAGCGGCCATGGCGAGCGTCCATCACGCCGCTGACATATACTTTCAGTTTTCGATGCCGATGACCGTGAAGCATAGGGTAATCATGTTGACCCGTCCTGACTTGAGATTCACTTGATCGGTGTTCACATTGCGGGCGTTGGACTTCTCCAAACTTCAGTTTGCATCGCCATGCGAGGCTTGGGTCCTCGTCGTATAGCTGATCAGATCATGCCTATGCCTTATGATGTTGCAACCTGCTTAGCCTTGACCGCCAGAAAGAATTTCGAGCACCAAGAAAGTACCGCAACTTGTCCGTAGCCAGTTTGGCTCAAGCCATTGCGGCTCAAGCCAACTTTGGCTAAAGCGATTCTGAGTTGTGGTGCCGATTGGACGCTCCATCCCCAGCGTTTCAGCGGCCCAGACAGAGCCATGCCCGCCGCAATGGGAATCAATGGTTTCGGACGCATCGGCCGCCTAGTCTGCCGCGCAGGGCTCGGTAACCCACAGGTCGTGGTGAAGGCCATTAACGATCCTTTCATGGACCTTGAATACATGGTCTACATGCTCCAGTACGATTCAGTTCATAAGCGGTATCCCGGCTCAATAACCACTAAGAAGGTGAACGGAAAGGAGTTCTTGGTCGTGGACGGGAAGGACATCGCGGTGTTTCACGAGAAAGATCCCGCGTCAATCCCTTGGGGAGCCTCGGGCGCTAAGTACATCTGCGAGAGCACAGGTGTATTTACGGCCAAGGAGAAAGCCGAACTGCACATTCGTGGTGGTGCCAAGAAGGTTATCATTTCTGCGCCTCCGAAGGACTCCGTACCCATCTACGTGGTCGGTGTGAACCACACTGAGTACAAGTCCTCCGACACGGTGGTGTCCAACGCGTCTTGCACGACTAATTGCCTCGCCCCGTTGACCAAAGTGGTGCACGAGAAGTTTGGCATTGTGGAGGGGCTCATGACTACGGTGCACGCAATGACCGCTACGCAGCTCACAGTGGATGGGCCGTCTCGTGGCGGCAAGGACTGGCGCGGAGGCCGATGCGCTTCGCAGAACATCATCCCGTCATCTACTGGGGCCGCTAAGGCCGTTGGCAAGTGCCTCCCGGCGGTGAATGGCAAGCTCACGGGCATGGCCTTCCGTGTTCCGACGCCAGACGTGTCAGTGGTGGATCTGACGTGCCGTTTGGAGAAGAGCGCGAAGTACGACGATATCGTGGCTGCTGTAAAGGAGGCGGCGGCGGGACCTATGAAAGGCGTCCTGGATTGGACCGAGGAAGAGGTGGTGTCTACCGACTTCGTGAGTTGCAAGGCCTCCTCAATATTCGATGTCTCCGCCGGCATTTCCCTGAGCGACCACTTCGTAAAGCTGGTGTCCTGGTACGACAACGAGTGGGGATACTCCAACCGCCTCGTAGATCTCTGCTGCCACATGGCGAAGCGGGACTGCCGCAGCGGCGGATCCATGGGGTGCTTCCCGTGCATGAGCTGAGCAACCTTATCTCGCTTCTCGCGCTGCATGTTCGGTTTTACTAGAACGGCCTCCTGCTTGGGCCGAAGCTTGGCGGATAGGTGGAAGGGCTAAACAGTTGATGCCTTTACACACCTGAGGGGCCACGAAATTTGTGTTTTTGCAGCGGGCGGAGCGCATGGTCCTCCTATACCCTCTCCTCTTGCTCCCGGTCCTGGAAGCGGGCCTGACGCTTTCTGATGGCGCACGTGTTCTGCAGTATACCAGTCAGCAGCACGCTGCGGATATTTTCGGCGTTCTCACCGCGCCCATGTCATGCAGAAGGTCAGGGAAATCGTGTGCCAGGAGCCCCCCCAGAAAAGTACCGAAACTTGAGGTTTTCACGTGTTGGGCTCTGGGAGGCCTATTTCGACACTTGTGCGGGTGTTCGAAACTATTTCTGGGATTTGGTCCGTAAGTACGATGAGAGCAAGATAACCTATGCCTATGTTTTGCCTCGCCGCTTTCAAGCAAGCTGAGTGCTTTGATGACCACATCGTCCGCAAGTGTTTGATAATGGAAATCTGACGTAAGGTATTGCCACGGTCGGCATTGAACCAGGTTGTAAATTTCCGGGGCATCTCACAACGGTACGGTTTGCGACCTGCATTGTTAGTACAATTATGTTTTTGTATCGTTTTTGTGGTTGATCTGTCGGCAAACCGATCCGATTAGTTGTTATAGATTTATCGGTTTATTGGTCCGACCGATTTCCGTTGTTGGCACGCTCGCTGAAAGTCGGCGCGTTTGGCGCGCAAGAACACCTCTGTCTAATTGGTCGGCACGCGCGCGGTTGGCGTGTCGGCTGATGGCAGGCGCCCATTTTTCGCCATTAGGTGCACATTGGCGGCGGCTCCAGGCTGCGCAGAACAAAACATGGAGTGTGGTGTGAGAGCAGAATCCCAGTCAGGCACTCTAGTTTGCGTTGGGTCGTGGGCCAGTCCCATGTTGTTTCCCCATGACACGCGGGACCGCCATCAGAGTTTGGGCCCAGGCTCCGCTTCGAGAGCGAGAGTTCGTGAGGGGGCGCGGAATCGTTCGAGACGGCGCGCCGCCAGGAGTCTCACATGATAGAGATGGAGCGCTCGCAGAAGAAGGACGCGGCCTGGGGCTGCTACGGAAGTGCGGACCCCGCCCGTCAGCAGGGCGCCGTGCCAGTTTGTTCGCCGCTGTTCAGGAGGGGAAGAAACACACAGACACAATTAATCGTCGACTCCCCAGAAAATATGGGAAAATATGGGAAGTGGTTGGGAAGACAAAAACCCAGAAAATATACAAAAACATGGGGAATCTTTTTGTTTGTGTGTATTTATTTGTGTGTCCCAGGGCCCCTTCAGCTGTACCCGTCGAGCCCTCTGGCAACCTCAGAGACCCTCACAACGCCCCGAGCAATCCCCTGAACCCTAAACTGCCGAACAGCACACCCTGCACCTGCCGCCGCCGCCGTCGTCTTGTGTTCTCTGCCGTCGTCGCCGCCTCTGCCGCGGAGGAAGGAGGAGGAGGAGGAGGAGGAGGAGGAGGAGGAGGAGGAGGAGGAGGATGGGAGAGGGGGAATAGGGGGAGGAGGAGGAGGAGGAGGAGGAGGAGGAGGAGGAGGAAGCCAAGGCGGGCAGAAGTTGCCGTCGCGGAGGCGCCGGGAGAATACTCTGATGATGCACGAACGTGTGAGCCAGCGCGTGCCCCGAACAGTCATGTCCTACAGATCTGTACGGTTCCATCTAGGTGGTACAGTCCATGTGGTGCCATGCCTGTGGCGCAGAGGACTGCGAAGCAACGCAGTTCGATTACATACAGACCAACGCAGAGCAATGCAAAGCAGTGCAACGCACGCTGCACAGCAGCGTAAAGCATCGCAGAGTCATGTAACGCAGCTGAACTCACCTCGACACAGCGCACGCCAGAGTAAAGCAACGCAGCTACTTGCAAAGCAACGCGCTGCGATGCAACCACATGTAAAGCAATGCAGAGTGTTGCAAAGCAGTGCAGCGTAAAGCAAAGTGCGAGCCTCGCACAGTCGAGCTCGTGACCGAGGACGGCGGCGACTGGCGGCCAGAAGCCAACCCGACCGACGACCAGTCCCAGTTATGCAGAAGAGAAGCATCAGGCCCTAAGTGCGAGCACGGCCTGGCGAATCTGATTCATTTTACGCTACTACTACTACTACTACTATTACTACTACTACTACTACTACTACTACTACTACTACTACTACTACTACTACTACTACTACTACTACTATTACTACTACTACTACTACCACGAGTGCGATGTTTGCATTACGACTGTTGCGACTGTTACGACTGCTGCGACTACTCCTGATTTTGCGCTGATTTCTGATTTTACGGCCTATGCTACTACGTCTGATTTTACGTTACTAGTACCACGAGTGCGATTCTTGGTATTACGATTGCTACGACTACGGCGACTACAACTACTAGTAATAGCAATCTTGATATTGGTAATCGTAGCGATCGGAATGGTGACAGTGAGCAGCAGCAGCAGCAGCAGCAGCAGCAGCAGCAGCAGCAGCAGCAGCAGAGGCAGCAGCAGCAGCAGCAGAGGCAGCAGCAGCAGCAGAGGCAGCAGCAGCAGCAGGGGCAGCAGCAGGGGGACGCGCCGCCGCGCGCGCCCGCAGCGTCCCCCGAGCATCCCTGGGGCTGCCTCGCGCTCCTCCCTCGGGCGATGCCAGCTGCGCGCCAGCACGAGGGAGGAGGAGGAGGAGGAGGAGGAGGAGGAGGAGGAGGAGGAGGAGGAGGAGGGTGACGTGGGACGAGGAGGAGGGTGACGTGGGACGAGGAGGAGGGTGACGTGGGACGAGGAGGAGGAGGAGGAAGGAGGAGGAAGGAGGATAGGGGAGAGCAGGAGGAGTAGCAGCAGGGAGGGGGAGGAAGAGGGATCCGCATAGTGAGGGGGGGGCTCTTTCGGGATTCTGGTGTGCTCGGCCATGGCTCGAAAGGTGCCGCCACATTCACGTGCGTGCAACTTTAACTCCAGTGGAGTAAGGCTGGAGGATGCTAGACCGACCGAGCTTGCTGCTTGAGTGCAGTTGGCATCCTCCGTTTCTGCACGTCGCAGCTGTCGTCCCCCCGAGAACGCTGAGTGGATCCTGGCCCCTTCCCGTCCTCGTCGACCTCCTCGTCCTCCTCATCCTCTTCCCCTTCTGCAGCTGCGGCCGATCCGCTTCCCCTCGTCGTCGTCGTCGACGTCGTTCGCTCCTCCACCTCCCGGGGAGCACCTCCTCGTCGCCCTTCTCGCCCTCCTCGTCCTCTTCCCCCTCTGCAGCTGCGGCCGATCCGCTTCCCCTCGTCGTCGTCGTCGACGCCGTTCGCTCCTCCACCTCCCGGGGGGGCACCTCCTCGTCCACCTCCTCGTCCTCCTCGTCCTCTTCCCCCTCTGCAGCTGCGGCCGATCCGCTTCCCCTCGTCGTCGTCGCCGTCGACGTCGTTCGCTCCTCCGCCTCCCCGAGGGGCGCCAGTTGCGCAAGGGCGCGGCAGCCTGCCAGGGGCGGCCTCCGGGGCCCCGCGCGCCGCCATATGCCGCAGTTCCAGGCGGGCGCCCTGCCGCGGCGGAAGGCGAAGAGGCCGAAGCCCGCCGGCGAGGGCAAGGCGGAGGCCCGGAGGGCAGCACACGACGAGTGTTGGGCGGCGCGTAATGGGGGGGTCATAAATGCGGGGGTGGCGAGCGTGGTCCGAAAAGGTACCCAAACGGTACCTAAACGAGCCCCCTGGGGCTCTGGAGGGGCCCGAAAGGGGCACGAGAGGGGACCTTTTCTGACCCCCCCATTTGTGACCCCCCCATTAAGCCACGCCCAAGAGTGGGGCCAGGGCTCCCGCATCGGCTGCGTGCAACGAGTGACCAGCCTCGAGCGTATCCCGATCCCTAAGATTGACACGCCAAAAGGCGATGACAAGCTTAGGGATTCGCCCTCAAAGAATAAGGGAATCCCTCAGATTGGCATCGTGATGAGGAGGTGCCCAGCATAGGGATAGGGATATGTTCCAGGCTGGTAAACGAGTGACCTCGAGGAGGAAAAGGCACCCTAACCTCTATCCTTTCCTCGTGTTCCCCTCTTTCGGCCGCCGGGGCTACCCTCGTCGTCACCGCCGGATTCGCCTCGAAGTCCTGGTGAGAACGCCCCCCGGGAGAGGCCCGGGGAGTAGCGGTAGCGGTGGTACATTTTGGTCTCCCGAAGTGACCTCTCGCCGGAGTGGCTTGTGGTGCGGGCCCACAGGGGCTCGGCACGGGGCCATAGGACGAGGAGAACGCGTTCCAGAGCGTTGCGGATCGCTCACAGGGCGTTCCGGAACGCTCTGAGAAGGCCGCGGCGCCCGGTACATTTTGCAGAGCCGCCGGATCTCGGAGACTCTGGATTCATCCTCACCCGAATTGATCCTCGTCTTGGCTTCGTCTTTCACCACCCACCAAACCACCCCAACCCAACCCGAAGGCTCAGATTTACCCTCGATTTCCAGTGGGGGGGGGTCGGGAAACATCGAAAAAACACATGTGGAACCCTTACCCCCCCAACCCGAAATTCGGTTCTTCGAGTTGGGTTGGGGTGGTTTGGTAGGTAGTCAAATTGATCCTCGTCTTGGCTTCGTCTTAGGGGTCCCCCCAGCGCTGGCTGGCGCGCTTGGACTACTCGGACTGCTTGCCCCCGCCGCGGACCCCTGCAGGCCGCGCGCCAGAGGTCACGCTTGTGCCCTGGGTCTTGGCATCGCTCGGACGTGTGCATTTTTCCTTCGGCGAGGACCATCGAGGAGCATCCTTGATCATTTGGCGGAAAAAACACGCACGAAACCGAAAAAAACACAGGGAATGGACGTCCGAGCGATGGCCAGGAACGGGGACTTCGATAACTCAGGGCGTTAGCATTAAGTCGGGCCTGTCTCTCTACAGGGGGGAGATTCACAAATCATACAACAAGTAGTCTGGGGACGATTACCATTTTTGAACATTATTGAAAATTTTGGGGGTATGTTGTAGCTTTCGTTCCAAATCCGCCTGTAGGGGGACATGTCCGATCTAACATTAGCATGCCCGAGACATGTGCATCCGTGGAACGAAGCATTCTCCATTACATGTGTCCTCCAGCTGTGATGTTCGAGGTCCTGGTTGGCAGCGTGTCCTGGCCTGGGGGGCCATGTGATGGCAGAGATGGGGGGGGGGCTCAGGAGAGAGCGGAAAAGAGGCAGGGGCAGCATTTATCGCGGCACCATCCATGGTTTGTGCTGTTGCCGAGGGGGCAATTGTACGGACTGGGGAATCTGGCCTCGGGGACCATGGCAGGCGTTGGATCTGGACACGTCTGGCCCCTGCAGACTGATCCCTGCCTCGTACTGTTGCCCACGGCGTGTCAGTCGCTGCATAGTCGAAGGCAGAAGGCGTCATGGCTGCCACGCGCCCTGGCTTTCAGTCGGGCGTGTCCCTCTACAGGAGGAATATTCAAACATAGGCAGACACTAGTCGGGGCACGATGTGTGGAGTACGTTCTGCTATGTCTGAGCATGCTTCGAGCCCCGCTGCGTTGCCCTGGCGGGCTCGAGAATGCCCTGAGCTGCAAACGGCCCCTCCAGCCCTCGTTTGCCCTCGTGGTGGCGCGGCAGTGTGGTGTGGAGGCGGGTCGGCAGGCAGGTGCGCAGGGTCTGCCCCGTGCTGGCGAGTGCCTGTCCCGTCTGGTGATACTGTTCGTTGTCTTCGTTGTCACCACCGTCATCACCATCCTTCCTCCTCCTCTTCCTCCACCTCCTGCTCCTCCGCCGCCGCCTCCGCCTCCGCCTCCTCTTCCTATTTCTCTTCCTTCTCCTCCTCCTCCTCCTCTTCCTCCTCCTCCTCCTCCTACTCCTCCTCCTCCTCTTGCAGAGGCATGAGCAGGTGACCAGCCTTGTCATCTGCTTTCTCATGTTTCCAGGGCGTCTTTGTGTCTGCGCCTGCAAGCGGCTGGCCTGCCTTTGCCCAGGCGCAAGCCGGTAGCAGTGCATGCATGATCGTTGCACGCAGCATCAGCCAGAACCTGCGAATTGTGTTGGTAAGTTTCGCAGCCTAAGGTGTTTTGGCCATGGACCTTTGGCGCCCATTATGTTCTGTATTGGAGTGCAGAGGCCACAGCGTTGGCAGATTCCGATGTGGAGGAGGCGGACATCGCTGCGTTGGCCAGGGCCAGCTTGAAGGACGGTGCGCTTGTCTCTCGCATCACACACAATGCATGTGCTGACAATCCATAGGGTGCATCGTGAAATCGAACATTTGCCTGCTCATGCTACGTTGCATCACCATGCTGGACCGCTTGTCGTCACGCTGACGGGCCCAGGAGTCTTCTCAAATCTTTGGTTGAGCGCGTCCTGCGATCCTCGAGGGCGCTGCGTGAAGACGCTGCAGACAAGCCGCCTGCAGACCATGTCGTCTGCACCGCAGGATCCCCCGCAACTGGTGGGCTCTGCACCCGCACGGCGACCTGTTCACAGCACGATTTCTAGCCGCCGCGCACGTCGCAAGAGAATTCCTTCGATGGCTGGCACCGTCTGGGTGCGCGTGCGCCGTGGGAACCTGGGAACCAGCAGTGCCTGGGGAGCCAGGTGCAGACTAGCCGGGAGTAAGCGGATCCTGAGCGGAGCATCTTGGTGGCATTCATGTGCAATAGGAGCAGCTTGGAGCAACAGGGACCAGCCAACTCCCCAGCAGCCGGGCGCAATCGGAAAATGACACGGAGCGGCGGGAGACCAGCCCGACCAAGCAACCGTTTTTCGCAGTCAGGTGCGAGATAAACAGGAGCAGCCAGGACCAGCTGGGAACAGTCAGACCAGGCAAGTCGTTCGCAGTCGGCGGCAATTTTCGACGCTTCGCGGATCCCCACCAGCGCATCCACAAACGACGCCCACGCGAGTCGTTTTACGAGCCTAGTGGATGCTTTATGGGGCCATCTTGACAAGGAGGGTAGGAGGACGAGGAGGAGGGGGAGCAGAAGGAGGAGGGAGGATGAGGAGGATCACTGACTAGACTTCCAGGTCTACGAGCTGGCCGACCGCCATTGGACAGTCCTTTTGGGTTGAATGGTTTCTTTATGAGGAAACACCCTCTGCTAGGGAAACGCTCCAACTCGTAGTCTGTATATGGAGGATGATAGCGAGGGCAGGCCTTGTCTATCAGCCCCTTCGTTCTCCAAACCTCAGGAGTGGCGTCCCACAGTGGATCCCAGCCCCTTCAGGGGGGGAAGAGGAGGAGGAGGAGGAGGAGGAGGAGCAGGAGGAGGAGGAGGAGGGGGAGGGGGAGGAGGAGGAGGAGGAGGAGGAGGAGGAGGAGGAGGAGGAGGAGGAGGAGGAGGAGGAGGAAGAACATGAGGGTGAGGACAAGGAACCAGAGGAGGAAGGGGCGAAGACGTACGCCTTCGCAGATCTTCTGCTGCCGGAACCGCTTGGAGGCATCATGGCACCAACCTGGGCCTTGGGGTTACAGTCGGGGCGCTAAACAAGGAACCCTTTTCGTTGGGGAGGGGCTCCGTGTTCCTTCATTGTTTTGCAGCTTGCCTCAAGTTTTCCTCATGTTTCCGATGGGAGATTGAAGTTCAACTTATGGTGAAACAGGGGCCTCGTTCCTGATTTAGGGTTCCTTAGGTCAAGGCCCCCACTGCAGCTGGCCTCCTTTACAAGCTCTGTCGGAGCTCTCTTGCGGCTCTCTGGAGCGATCTCCGGGCCCTCTTGGGTCGATCTTGGGCCCCGTGGCGCAGAGGGGGGATCTTGATGCCACCCCCCCTCCCGCGGACGCCTGGGGCTCGCTTGGGCTACTTTATTCGTGAATTTAATTGGTTTTAGTGTTTTAACAAATGGTCGCAGCCACGCAGAGGGCGTGCGTAGCGACGCCCAAAATGCTCGGTCTCCAGTACTTCTACGTGGCGGCGCCCCCGCAGGCACGCAGAGGGCACGCGTGGCGACGGGGGCGTCGCCACGCGGAGCTTCTAAAGACCAAACATTTTGAAAACCAATTGTTTCCGCTACTAAAGTATCTTAGTGCAACCTGAAGGCCCCAGAGGCCCATCGGAAACCAGCGAGCGAGAACGCAGCAGTCACATGTTCTTCACAATGGTGCTAGAAGGGTCTGTCGTTTCTTGTGTGCGTCGTTGGTACGCTCCGTGGTCGCTTGGGGCCGTCTTGGGTGGGTCGTTGGACCTCTTGGAGGCATGGTGGTTGCCATCTTGAGTCATCGTGGGGTGTGTTGAGCCATATTGGAGGCCATACTGGGCTTTTTCAGCCCATCTTGGAGCCATGCTGGCTGACAAGTTTGTCAATGATGCCTCCGAGGTGACGACATATGTCAAACCTTGGCTTTGATCGGAGGGGTATCCTTAATTGGCGTTGCCTGTCCGGATCCGGAAAGTTGCCTCTTGGCGCCCTATTGGTGCGTCCGTGGGCCCTCCTGGGCCCATCTTAGGCTCTCTCGGGCCACCTTGGAATCATCCTGAGGCCTCGCTAACGCATCAGAAGCGGAAAGGCGATGCTGCAAGATTCCTATGTTTGTCCAGATGGTTTGGACGAGCTTGGGCCTCTGAGAGGTTTCCTTGGGCGGCTCCGTGGCCACCTGGGCATATCTTGGAGCGGTCTCTGGGCCTATTTCGGACATGCGGGGAGCCATCTTGAGCGATCTGGCGTCATCGTTAAGCCATCTTCGAGACCATCTTGGGCTTCTGGGACCCTCCTGCAGCCATCCTGGGCGCTGCGGCCGCTCGCGGGGCGCCGCGCCCAGTCACATGGAAGGGGGCCTTCTTGAGGGGGAATCTTGGCGTCGAGGAGGAGGACACGTGCCAAACCACCTGCGCCCAGAAGGGCTGGCTGTAGGATCCTGCAGTGGCGGAGCCACTCAGTGAAACCATTCTGCGCGGAACATAGCACACCGCTGCGCAGGCCACTGTGGGCCATCCCGCGGGGCCCCCGCCGGCGAGATCCGGGATCCCACGTGTTGACGACGGCGGCGCCCAGGCCTCCGCGCTCGGAGGGCGCGGATGAGTCGTGAGCGCAGCCGGCTGCCTGATGCAGGCCAGGGCCAACCATCAGGTGAGTCGGTGCCGTCGTATGATGTTACTCGGGGGCGGAAAAGAGGGGGGTGATGACTAGGGGGGGGTGGATATCATGGCGGGGGCCATGATATTTCCCCAGATTTCATGGCGCCTCTGCTTATTTCATTACGTCCCTGGCCCCCCCGCTGGGCCGCGCACGTGCCGCCGGTCATGATTTGCACCCCCCGCTCTTGGACACCCCCCTCTTTGCCGCTCCCGATATATTGCCGTCGAGCGCACTTGCGCACATCAGTGCAGGGAATGATGGGGGTCTCGCTTGACACCTCACGATGCCACACGTTGTGGAACGGGGGGGCCGGGGGCCCGCTTCTTCTGTGCGGGGTGTCGGCCTGTGTGCGCTCGCGTGTCCGCACTTCTTGCATGGTTGCCAACGCAGTGTAGCATGACGAGTGTCACATGCTGTTGCTGTGTTGCCAGTTGTGCTCGCAGGGTTTGTTGTGTGCTTTCTGTCGGGGGGGATCCTTGCGTTTCACTTCGGGCGCAGATGACCAGCCATTCGAGGAATGTCCAAGTCGTATCGTTCGAGTGATTGGAGTCATTGTTTGGCGCTAAAAGAGCATAGTGGCACAAACCATAATTCCGCACATGGCTTGCACTTCATACTGCTGCTTGCATGAGCCATGTAGTTTGAAATCGAGTGGGTACGTTGTTGGCGAGATTGGTTGTAATGCTGGTAACCGAGTGCTTATGTCGGAAGACGTCCAGCCTTTGCCGATTCTCGACCCGTCACGCTGTCACGCTGCATCGATGTCCAACAAGATTGTGTCGATTCCCGCAGGAGGGCGAGGTCATCCTCGGTGAGGGCAGTGGCCAGCAAGGAGGCACGTTCGTGGGAGATCGCCCCCGGTCGTTGCATGCAGCGCTTCCAAAAGTGTGCAAGGGAGTTGGGTACATGTGACGCGGCCAGCTTATGCGAGATCTGGGTACACACGTGGCCATATGTGTTTCCAGTTCTCGGCCTTCTCCTCGGCCGGGCACGCCGGGCTCCCGCACGCGTGCATAGCGCACGGCCTCGTGACGTTCCACGTGCAGGATCCATGTCTGTGTGTCTGTTCTGGCTTCCTGGCGCATCATGTCGGATGTCTGACCTGGCTTCCCGAGGACGAAGGGCACCTCGTGTAATCCCCGATCGCAGTAGAGAGCCATTTTCCAGAGGAGTTTACCATGATCGAGTCATCTCGGGGTCCGGCGCTCGACCGTCGATTCCGCCCCGCTGCCAATGGCAGGGGGCGTGAGGGTTTGCCGTAGAGGCAAGGCTTGATGGTGTTTTGGAGGCGCCCGTTTGAGACAACATTACAGCAAGCAGTAATCAAAAGACATCTGATGGTCTCGCCCATTTCTCTCCCTACTCTCCCTCCCAGTGCGATATGTTTCCTCTGGGGCGTGAATATCCGTTGAGCTCCCTGTGGCTCAGGCATAGGCAGGAACGCTCAATGAACACGGACAGCCGTCTTTTCGAAGGTCGCCAGTCGAGTTCAGATTGCTTTCTCTCTTGGATGGGGGCTGTTGTTATACATCTGGTAGAAGTAATTGCACAAGCGACAAGCGCCACGTGTGCAGAGCAGCCACCCGCTTCCTTCTGCACAGGTCATCCACAGGGGCGCGAGGATCATCGCCTTTCGCCCGACGCAGCCTGCGCCACGGATTTTGCCCCTCTCCAGGCAGCCGCGAGAAGGGGCCGTCGCGCACCGCCCTGCGCACGCCGCGCACCGCGAAGTGGGGTACCCATCGTGGGGGCAGAATGGTGTTGTGCATTCTGCGAGTAAGACCGGCCCTCGACCATCTTGAAGCATGCCGCGCCCGTGCTGCGTGCGCCTGCGAGGGCCGTCCCGTTCGGAGCGGGCACGGCGTCGGCGCGTGGGAAGGGATGGCACGGCGGCACAGGTGGAGGGATGGAGTGGCATTCGCGACGCGGCTGAAGCCGAAAGCTTGGCAGCAACAGCCGGCACTACGACTTGCAGATTGGTTCGTGGGATCGCAGAAGCATGCACGGGCGCAGCGTGAGCAAGCGCAGCATCGCAGCCTCAGCATCGAAGCCGACGGGACGCGCCGCCCCAAAGCGTCTGGCCAGAGAGGACGGGCCGCTCGCCAGGGTGCAGTCCGCCACGGGGAACTCACCAGCCTCGAACTTATCCCTATCCCTAAGATTGACACGCCAAAAGGCGATGACAACCTTAGGGATGCGCCCTCAAAACCTAAAGGAATCCCTGAGATTGGCATCGCGATGAGGCAATGCCAGTCTTAGGGATAGGGATATGTTCCAGGCAGGTAAGGAACACCGAGGGGACCTCACGGGGAGGGGCCCGCGAAGATGCGCACGGGGTGCTGCCGCACCCTCCCGTGTGGCAGGGCTTGTCGACCTGGAAGTGGCCGACAAGCGCGGCATCTGCAACGCCCCGGCCCTGCTGCAGAAGCTGAGCGACATCGAGTACAAGGCGGCGGGCCGGGCCCCTCTTCGCGCGCGGCCACTGCGGGAGAGAGCTGGCCTCGCGGGCGGGTGTCCCTCGCCCCAGAGCCCCAGCTTTTCGCCCCCGCCAAAAGAGGCCGCTCAGGCAAGGAGGTAGTGGGGCTAGGGGGGCACACCCCACGGAGGCCCATGCGGACGCACCGCCATCCAGGATGGACGCTCCCGCAGCAAAGTGTCCCGAGCTGGGCCCCAGGTTTTTTTTTGGACGCCCGAAATGGGTACGGAAAGAATGGGCACAATGCCCAACAGCGGATCCTGTTCATTTTGAACAGGACTCGCTGTCCACGCCGCCGCGGCCTGTGTCCATTCGAGACAGAAGGCCGCCTGCCCAACAGCGGCCGCTGTTGGTTTGGGACAACATTTGTTGTTGGGCATTGTACCCCTTTTTTCCGTACCCATTCTCGGGCGTCCAAATTTTTGGCCCGTTCGAGAAAACCCCACGGTGTCGGGGATCTGGGTCGACGTAGTCCTTGGTCGGGGCCTCGCCCGTGCAAGCACGGCTGCTTCGGCCGTTCGGCGTGGCGCGTCAGCCTGCTCTTTCCTCCTCCTCGTCGTCGTCCTCCTCCTCCTCCTCCTTCATTACTTTTTCCTTACAAATAACCCCTCCCTGTCGCACCCCGAGGCCGGTCGAAAGGGCGGGCTGGGCGTTTCGCCTGACTCTTTCTCACCCTTAATGACCCTGAAGCCCAAACGTTGGCAACGGGTTCATAAGCAGAGGGCGGCTGGCTTTCAAAATGTGGCTCTCGCCTTAGCGACGCGCGCATTCGTTTTGAACATGTGTAAGAGTTTCACTGGTTGAGGGCGGGCTCGTTTTCAAAATTTGGTTCTCGCCTTAGCGCCGCGCACATTCGTTGTCACACATGTGTAAGAGGCTCACGGATTGAGGGCGGGTCGTTTTCACAATGTGGTTCTCGCCTTTGCGCCGCGCGCGTTCCACATAAACATTTGCAGTAGTTACCAGATTGAGGGCGGCTCGTGTCCAAATTGTGGTTCTAGCCTTAGCGCCGCGCACATTCGTTTCAAACATATGGAGGAGTTTCGCGGAAGTCCATGGTCAACGTACCAGACATGTAGTTTTGGAAGGATTCAGGATTGTGAGGGTGCAACATTTCTGTTGACTCGCGCAATTGAAGTTCCAGGATTGGTTTTTTGGCACGATGCAGGATCGCCCAGACGCATCCGTCAGGTTGATCCGTGGCGTAGGAGACCAGATAATGTTTTCGTTTGCATGTTTCAGGGTCTGCAAACGGTTGTCTCACAACGAGGCAGTTCCCTCAGTGGAAATGAGCCACTATAGGGACCTGCGAAGATGGAGCTTGGAGGGAGGGTTGATTCGAACAGCGTTGATGAGTCTTTGGTTTGCGCTGGTCCTCCTCCTTCTCCTCCTCCTCCTCCTCCTCCTCCTCCTCCCCCCCGGGAAGGGCAAACATTGCCAACGGGTGGGCACGGGACCCCCAATAGCCCATGGGGTGCAAGAAGAGCACGAGCTCGTATTTGTGCTGTTGCGGAGGTGCTGCCAGAGTGGGGTGGCCTGTCTGGTTCGGGTTGCTCTTGTTATCGAAGGAGAAAGCACTCCAGAAACATAAACTGTTGCCGCTCCGCGCGGATCTCTTGGAGCCGCGCTCGGGCACCCTGGCGGCGCTTCGGGCGCTGCCCCTGGTGCGCTCCGCGCGCAAGGGAGACGGGATCAGCTCAGATTCAAACAATCCGCGCAGACCGTTCGAAGTTTCTGTGTATGCCAGTTGTTGTTTTTCTATGCCAGGAGTTTTCAGCATCCTTCCCCCCTCGGTCTCGTTGTCCTCGTCCTGCCAGTTCGCTTCCTCTTGCCGATGGCTCAGGTGCAAGTACTCACACTGACCCCAGCTACCTACACTACCCTCGTTTTCTCCCACCACTCTTGCCGCTGTTTCAGCTCCCTTTCCTGCCCCGACGTGCATTCCCACTCGCACAACTCCCGATCCTACTCCTGATCTTACTTCCCCTCCCACTCGTATTTCTGCTATTCGTTCCTCGTTCCCTCACTGACGAGGCCCCCGCTCGAGGCATCCTCACAATTCGCTCAGGGCGAGGTTCCCGTTCGAGACGTCCTCGAGATTCATTCTGCCAGGTGTGAGACGCCCTGTGCTTCTACAGGTGTTCCGAGCGCCGCCTCGGACTAGAATCGTGAAGTGAGGCCCTTTTATGAAGGGGTTCTCAGCCAAAGCTTTCTTGATATTCGCGCGGTTAGGCTTGAGAGAACTTGCGTTTTGTATGCATGCCGATGGCCGCCTCGAAATAGTGAGATGAGAGTTGGGCTGCTCGAGATCTCTTCACACATAACGTTCCACGATGTCGTCGAGCTCGGTGATGGCGTCCGCTCGCAGACGGGGCTCTCGCGTGTGCGGGTCCCCGATGATGCCACTGATGGCGGTGATGGCATGGTGGTGATGATGATGGTCATGAATATATTGGTGGTGACAGTGGTCATGCTGTTCGTGTTTGATAGAGAGTGCTAGTGATGATGGTGATGATGATGATGATGATGATGATCATTGTCATGGTAATGCTGATGGCGAGTATGACATGTGGGTTGCAGAGTAAGTGTGTGTGTGTGAGAAGGGGCTATGCAGGTGACGATGATGATGAATGCAACTATGATGACTGTAGTGATGATCATGGTCGATCATGGTGATTATGAGGATGAGCGTTCGGGTGTGTGAGCGTGTGAACGTGCGCCTGTGGTGGAACAGAGTGAGGAAAGGAGGGATGGGGCACTTGCGCAAGGTGTCTTGAGAACTTGGAAATCCTAGTGAGGATTGGGACAGTATGTGTTCGCAAATTCTCCCACTTCCTTCTCGCTCGCAAGTTCGTTATGTCAGTATGACAAAGATGCGAAGGGCAGCAGTAGTCGTCGTAGTAGGGCGAAGGATACAATATAAAACATAAGCAGGGTGAGTTGAAGCAGCCGTATATGTAGTAAAATGGCCGGATCCGTAGGATTGCCAGGGGCTGTAGACATCGTCAAAGTGTTCGATGTGGTTTCAGTGGTACGTAGGAGAAGTCTGGCGTATGAGTGGATCCCGCAGGACCAGGGGTTGTAGACGGAGCTGCGTGTCTTGTCCACGTCCGTCTGCGTCTGTTTGGTGATTGTCTGTGTAGGCCCTGTATTTCTGCATGTGCATGTTCTCTTATACAACTCTGTCGCTATGTCGGCCCGTGTCTAAGCATTCGCCTTTTTCTGCCTGTCTCCATATCGTTTCACCATTTGTCAACTAAATGTTAGTGTTCATTTCTAATGTAATTCTATCGGACTGAGTGTCTTGTTGATGGTGTGCCCGCCATCGTCTAACGTCCCGTCCGTCCGTTTATTAGTGCGCCCGTCTCAACTGTTCTACCCGTGCTTTTTTTCGGTCTCGTCTCGCCAGTTCTCGCCTTCTGTTCACTCGTCCCTTCTCCCTCTCTCTCTCGTTATGTTGTTTCTCTCTCCTTCGTTCTCCCTTCCCTTTGCTGTGGATTTCGAGGGTGACCCCGTGGGTTTTGAAGCACGTGGTTGGCGGGCGTGGTAGGCGTGTGATCTGCACTTGACAGGTGGGATTGAGGAAGGAAGGGAAGGTGGGGAGGACAATGGCCGAGTGAGAACGATTCGTGTAACGATTTGTTTCACGGGCCCGGCCATCGTTGATGCCTGGGGATGTTGTAGGCTCCCGAGGGGTCGCATAGCTTTTTGCCCGTGGCAAATGCGCGCGTTTGACGGGCGCGGGGGTGCAGTCCAGATAGAGCAGAGGTAGCATCGCAGCCAAATTGTGCCAAAGGTGTAGGAGGACGTGGCACGCCTTTCTCCCCTGCTTGCAGTTCTATCTGCAGCGCCAAGGTGCCAGAGGGTGCCAAGCGCGTCCCGTGGGTCGACACCCTCGCCATAGAAGACCAGCAGACCCTCCCAAGTGATGTAAAGTCGAAGGACAGCATCTTGCTCGATGTGTGAGCACTGTGAGCACCTTGTCATGTCGCCGCCTGGTGTAGAGTGCAATTTCGGCACAATGTCGCGGAGAGCGTCGCACACAAGAGATCAGCATTGTTGCAACACCACTCCGAGGGGAAGTGCATTCCCATGGTGTCTGCTCCCGCTGGGGCTCGTCCGTTCTCGGGAGGAACTCGGAGCTCGGAACTCGGGTGTCCGCGAAGAGATGCCGGAGGGCATCGTTGCTGGGGGTGTGCACCACGCTGAAGACGCCATGCAGACCAAGTTCTCGGGAGGAGGGAGGGGAGGGCGGAGGGGTGGTGTGTGGGAAGGGAGGGGGGAATGGGGAGACTTGTAGCCTGGAGGATCCCCAGCAGTGGGGAGAACGGGGGAGGCGAGGGCGCAGGTCGCGTGCCTCTGGCCGTTGTCTTAATGCCGACCAGCCGCGTGCGGATGCCCTTCTGCGCCGTGCCCGTCCTTCTCTCCTCTGCGCGAATGTGTGTGCCGCGGGCCGTTGGTTCGCCACGGCCGCCCACCGCGCTCTGGTCCTGCGCGCCTGGCTGCTGCTGCCCCCCCGGTTGCTCATCGTCGAACTCTTCGGCTTCTGAGCGTCTGTTTTTTCTCGGCCGTCCCCCCCTTTCTTTGCCCGCCGGCCAATTCGCCATTTAGTGCCCCTGTCTAGCTTCTCGCTGGGGCGGAGTTCGCCGCCTCGCCGCTGACGAAAAAGTGTGCCGTTGGCCGGCTGGCGAGCACGCGCAGAAAACGGCAGGGGCTCCACCGGGTGCTGAGATTCAGGGTTCCTTTGGCGCTTCTCAGGCGATCGCAGACATGGATTCAAGGGGCGTGTATTAGCGACGGGCCCCGCTTCAATAGAAAATTTCGGATTTCCGCCGCCGAACGAGGCGGCACCGGCCGCATTTCGGGGAGGGCACCTCCCCCGATGCAGGTATTCGGCGACCGCGCGCCAAATCCATGGATCGTTAATCCGTGTTTGCGCGCCCCCGAGTTTCAGGAAATTGCGCAGGATGCCCACGGAATTGCGCCAGTTTCGCTGCCAGTGCGCTGGTCATCGAGCGCGTTCCAGTATTCGCAAATGGCCTGATCGCAGACGTTTGGTGTAATGGATCGTAAATCTCCCGCGGCGGATCCAGGCCAGACGCGAGCTTCGGAACGCGCTTGTCTAATTCCAGGGCGGTCTGGCATTTTCTTTCGTTCTTCGTTCCAGCGCAGCACGCATCGAGGCTTCGCGGAAGAAAGATGGTGATTGAAATTGGCAACTTCGGTGTAATGTGCTACCATGTGACGAACGCAAGGAACATCGCTTTGGGCGCCCATAGAAAACGAATTGGTTGCGCCGGTTAGGAAAAACCGTTTGCCTCATGCGCGGTCGGCCGAATAGTATATGAGTTTTCCACATGTATCTATAGGCGCGCGGGCAGGGGCTTTCGATGCTGACTTTGTTCGCAAAGACGATCGAGTGGGGATGGGGGATGCGAGGGTTTCTGGCCCCTCCGGGGCTTCGAAATCGTCACGTTCCCCCGAAGCACCGACCGCAGTGGTTCAAATGTATTGAAACCGATCCGAATTCATGTAGACCAGCGCCCGTATGTGGAGACACGACTGCATGCGCAGTTGCCGATTGAGTTGGGCACCGTAGGAATTTTCATGGCCCCCACGAAGCGCATTAGTTTTAGTTCTGGAATATGCTCACGTTTTGCGTGCACGTGATGGTCTGGACGTGGACATGTGTCACGTCATTGGTTTCTTTGAGAAAGAACAAGGATGCGTTGTGCGCTTGCAGACACATGCAACTGGCGAGGAACAAGTTCAAACTTTGCGTTTATGTTCGGCTACTGGTTGCGTTCAAGACGCGTCCTGGCGCGAGCCTTGCGCTTAGGCATGCAGAACCCGAGCCTTGTGCGAGGTTCAGCGGCATGGTTCGGAGGGTCTGATCGAATATTCTGACCATGGGCGAGCCGCGCGATGAGTTACAGTGTTAGTGTCTTCAGGCACGTTCGACCCAGACAACGATGCGCCTCATGCGCTTGCGAGCGCAATCTACAGCACATGCGCCCACTCGTGTTTGCATCTCCGGGCGCCAATCGATTCTTCGAAATAGAAATCGGGCGGTGTGTTACAATTCTGGCTATTTGATTACATGTTTTGCGTTTGTTTCGTATGCGTGTTTGTTTCTCCGTAGGTTAGTTTGTTTGTCTGCCTGTTTGTCTGTCCCAGCGCGCGCCCCAGACAGCCCGAGGAACAAGCGAAGCGGCGGGTGGCATTCCTGCGCCCGCCGCTGCGTCTCGCCCGAAGGCCCGCTCCAAGCAACCCAGCGGGGCTGCCTCGCCACGCGGCAGCAGCAGCCCTGTAGCCCCGCGCCCGTCGCCCCCTCCGGGCCAGAGCGCGCCTCGAGGAAGGCGAGGGGCGAGCGAGGCGGCGGGCAGACACTGCGCGCCCGCCCCCCCATCTAACGGCCCAGATGGAGCCGAGGCGGTGGACGACGCGCCCCCGGGTTGCGACGGGGAAGCACAACGCCTTGAGATTTGCGCGCGCCAAGCTGTGGATGCGAGCGGGTCGCGAACAGCCCAACGGGCGAGCCAGTTGCGCCGATCGCCTTGCTTCGTCCAAAACGCGTCCCGAACAGCCCCGGGGGCGTGCGAGGCAGCGGGTGGCATTCTTGCGGTCGTCATTTGACCTCGCCCAAAACGCGCCTTGGCCAGCCCGGGCGACTGGTGGCAGTTCTGCGCCCGCAGCATCGCCTTGCCTTCTACGTTGCGAATCCTCGCCCTCCCGGGGGCGAGGAAGAAAATGCGCCGTGGGATTTGATTCCAGGAGGCCCTGATTCTGAGACACTTCCCAACCGCTACGCCGCAAGGCCCTTGTTTCTGGTCGTCGGCGTTGACCACTGCATGCGCGCAGCCGCCATTAAATGGGGCGGCGGATGGGCAATGGGCCACCCGCAGGTCGATTCGAATGTCGCAGGGGGCGGGCGTCGGGCAGCCCGGGCTGCGGGCCAGGCGACGGGCGGCATTTCGCGCCCGTCGTTCCATTTTGCCCGGGACGCGCCTCGAAGAGTGGACGGGGCCCTGGCGGGGCGACCGCGGCCGCGGGCACGCGGGCACGTCTTCGCGCTGGTCGGCCTCGCCTCGCCCAAGGCGCGCCCCGGACAGCAGGGGGGGGCGAGCGAGGCACTGGGCAGAATGTGCTCGCGCGTCTCCTCGCCCCACCGAACGCGCGCCCTGTTCGGCCCAGGCGGCCGGCTGCATTTCAACCGCCGTGCCGCGAGGTCTTCCCGCGCGGCAGCTGGCGCTGCGCGCGTCATGCGCGCGGCCGCAATCGAACAGACGACGCGGCGGGGGCGCGCGCGCGCCCGCGGCGCGCCTCGAAGATCTTAGGGGGCGAGCGCCGGGCAGCCCGAGGGGCGAGCCAGGCGCCCGCCATTGCGCGCCCGCCACCTCGCCGCGCCCACGGCGCGCCCTGCCGAGGGCGCGCGCTTGCCCGCGCGACGGGCGCAAGCATGCACCCCGCCGCCTGGCCCGCCCCGGGCAGCCCAACTGGGCTGCCAGGGGCGCTCTCCGGGCGAACCAGGGCGAAGGGCGCAACAGGGCGACGGGCGCAAGCGCGCGGCCCGCGGCCTGGCCCGCCCCGGGCAGCCCGGCCAGGCTGCCAGGGGCGAGTTCTGGGCGTGACAGGGCGGCCGGCGCAGCAAGGCGACGGGCGCGAGCCCGCCGCCCCGCCCGCTTCAGGCAGCCCAGCTGAGCCGCCAGGGGCGCTTTCTGGGCGGGGCGAGGCGGCGGGCGCAGCGGCGCGACTGGCTTTGAAATGCTGGTTGGCGGATCGCCTTCTCCAGGCAGCCCCACTGGGCTGCCGGGGGCGCGCGCAGGGTCAGAAAGGGCGAAGGGCGCAACATGGCGACGGGGTCGAAGGGCGCAGCGTGGGCGAGACAGGGCGTCGGGCGCAGCAGGGCGACGGGCGCAATGTACGCTGCCCGACGCCACGCTCGCCCCAGGCATGGCAGCCGCCCTGCCAGGGGCGCGCGCACTGGGCGCGATGTGCCCAACGAGTCGACGGGCGCAAAGGCGTTGTCCGCCACCCCGTTCGCGCCGCGCCGCCCAGCCGGGCTGCCGGAGGCGCGTTCTGGGCGAGACAGGGCGACGGGCGCAGCGGGGCAACGGACGCGCAAATGGCGCCCGCCGCTCTCGCTCGCCCCAGACAGCCCCGGCGCGCCGCCAGGGGCGCGCCCGGGGCAGGGCAGGGCGACGGGCGCAACAGGGCGACTGGCGCAAACGCGCAGCCTGGCCCGCCCCATGCGCGCTGCGCAGCGCAGCGCGGCCCCCTGCTGCCCGCTGGTCTGCCCCCCGAGGGCCCTCGATCCGCGGCGCGCATCGCGCCCGCGCGCAGGCCGCAGATGACCCGCTCAGGAATCAGAGCGGGGCGGTGCAGAGAATGAAGGATGTCACTCGCCACTATTCAACTGAACCATGATTTCTCCTGCTGAGCCTCCGAGAACCGAGATGCGTTCGACGCAACCTTCAAGCGCCGCTCTGCCCGCGATGGGGAACTCGCCGTAGAAGAGAAACGGAACAAGGAACACGGTGTGTATCCAGGATGCTTCTCCATGCCATATTGTGGCTTTGGGTCCTCGTTTTGAAGAGACAGCGCCCCGCGTGCTCACTCCTCCCCCCCTCTCCTCACCCCCCCCCCCGCCTCCTCCGCGGCGCCCAGCGCGTCGCTTCGTGGCCCCATGGGAAACTCCACCGATGATCCCAGTAGCGCAGTCCTCACGCGGTCCCCCCGCTCAGCGCAACGTTTCGCGATCCCAGAGGGAGCTCCACCGAAGGCCCCAGTGGCGCAGCCCGAATGCGTTTCACCCGCGCAGCGCAGCGCTCCGCGACCCCATAGGGAGCTCCACCGAAGGTCCCAGTGGAGCGGTTCCCCCACGCAGCACAGCTTTTCGCTGTCCCTGAGGGAGGTCCTCCGAAGCCCCCAGCGGCGCAGTC